GGGGGGGGGGGCATCTGCCTCGGCCGGTTGGGGGTGAGGGCTTCCAGCTTCCTCTTTACGCCACCAGCTTCCGTCCTATTCCTGAAGGAATAAATGCATGAAGCATATCTTCTACTACATCACTCTGACACGGGATGTTCCTCATTTTGGAGATATTACGATATTAGATATTACTTCAGGACCTCTCCAAATATGAGAAACCAAAGAACTTTAGGCTGGATATAGATCTATAAAGTTTCTCTGACTGTCCTCAGGTCCATAGAAATAACTTTAGAACTAAATTTGGAATCAGGAAATGAAGTAGTCCAGGTATTTAGTCTTTAAAACGTACTAATCAACTGATTAGTTTCACCCGGTTCCATAAACAGGTAAAATAGAGTATCATCAGAGTAATGGTGGACTTTTTTTCTTTTTTAAGCGAAAATATTCACTTAAAAACATCTGATTGTTAATACAGCTTCTGTCCGGCGCCTCCTCAGGCTCTCTAAACCCGGCAGGGCGCCCCTCCGTTTGGATTCCAGTCCGATAGGAGACCACCTTCCTGCACACACAGCTTCCTACTGTTAGGTTCACAACACTCGAATTTGTCAAAAGTGGAAAACCCGAATGTACGACACAGACTCTGAAGAATAAGCTTAGCTCTGTTTTTTTAGTTCTGTTTTTTGGTGTATTTTTTGGTACTTTTAAGCCTTGTTTTGGTACTTTTAAGCCTTTTTTTTTGCTTTTTTGGTGTATTTTTGATACTTTTAAGCCTTGTTTTTGCTTTTTGGGATGTATTTTTTATACCTTTAAGCCTTGTTTTTAGCTTTTTGGTGTATTATTGGTCATTTTTAGCCTTATTTATTCTTTTTTTTTAGTATTAAGACTCAAAGCAGTGTGGATCCGTCCCTCCATCAGACCTGGTTTTCAGTTCACTTCTGGTTCCTCTGGCAGAGCTCAGCCTTTCCTCCATTTCTGAAGAGCCCCAACTGCTCTCTTCCAGGAAGCCTCTCTTTTCAAATGTTTCTTTATCAAAATGATATTCAAAATGGGGAATGTTGGGCTTGATGTTGGGGAAAACACAAATGACGCCTCCTTTTTTTCATATTTCCTGCAGGTGCAGAACCATTTTGTGCATCTTTAGGCAGATTAAATGCTGTATTTAAACATTTCCACCCTCTCATTAAAAAAGGCCGTGGTCTCTGTAGGTGGGATCCTGTGGGGTTAGCTGGTCCTGGCTGGGGGGGGGGGGCTCCTGAGGCCCATTTTAATGTCCCCTCCTCTGGCTCTTTCTCCCCCCCC